GAGAAATATCAAATTTTTTAGATGAATTACTATTCCTTTTTATTATTAATTCAGTGTATTGTCCTCCTTTATTGGGAGATATTACAAGTATCCGTACTAAAATATGAGCAACACTTTTTTTAAAAAAAAATGCATTTTAAACAAAATCAGTCATAAAACGACTGTTTATTCTCCATTTCTTTAACATTTTCAATTTCTACTTGAAAAGCGATGATGTCGTTGGGCATTTATATTCTATCGGTATAAAATGAAAATAATGGCTTGAAAGAAGAATATCGAAATTTTTTAGAGTAGATACAATTCCTTTTTCTTAATTAAATGAGTAACATTTTCCTCTTCTACTCAGGAATAATACTGGTACTTTACTTTTTACAGGTATCCGAACTAAAATATAAACAATACTCATTAACAATTTGAATAAAATCAATAAAAACGCAACTATTTATTTTTTTAAAACTTTTTTAACTTCTATTTAGAAAGCGATAATATTGTTAAGCAATTTTTATGCTATCGTTATAAAAGAAAATTTATGTGGTAAAAGAAATTTTGAAATATCGATGAAATACCATTCTTTTTTTTTAATTAAATATGTATGTTGTCCTCTTTAATTGGAGAAAAAGATTGGTACTTTTTACTGGTATCCATACTAAAATTTAAACACTCCTTTTTTTAAAGAAAATATATACATTTTTAACAAAATCAGTAATAAAACGACTACTTACTCTTCTTTTTTTTTTTTAACTTTTTCAACTTCTATTTGGAAAGCGATGATATCGTTAAGCATTTTTTTATGCTATCGTGTGTAATCGTAAATAACCTATTTATCACCTAAAAAAACCCAAGTGATGATATATGTCTGAATCGTGAGGCCAATCCATTTTAACTTTATTAGTACTTTATACTCCCGCAGGATAGAAGGAAAAGAAGCCTGTATGAGCCATTCTGCATTTCTCGATGAATTCACAACGCAGACGATTTTTATTTTTATTTCTTAAATTTATCTTTTGCGCCAAACCATTAGAAATTCACCATCTGAAGAAAAAAAATTGTTTTTGTTTCAAGTAAAAGGAGAGTTGTAAGAACTGAAAACAAAAGACGATTTTAAATTTCGTCTGACCTCAACAGAAAACTAAGAGATAGAGATAAACTGAAGTGAAAAGAGAAAGGGGGAATAAAACACCCATTCTTCTTTTTTCCCTCCCCATTTTATCTAGATGTAGCAAATATGAGATGTATATAACTATCATGAGGATCCTTTTCCCCCTTCCCCCTTACGTACAGGCGGTATCGCAAAAAAATACTTCACCATTTTATTTTCATCTTTTTTCTATTCACTATATATTACAGATACTATTATTATTATTTTCTTTTTGGCGCTTTTTCCACTTATTCTACGAGATGGCCACGCTCAATATTTCATGCCATTCACGGTATTCCATTTCTTCAGAAGCAGTTTCTATTTGCCAAAGAGGATTCCTTTGGGGATATAGACGCCAACATTGCCTCTTCGCCAAGAATATTGTGTTACCATCTTAGTTCGCTCGAAGAGAAAATTTGGCCATCTAAAAATATAAAAAAAAGATATGTCTTATAGAAGAATACATGCGGTTTTTGTGGCCCCCAGCCTACCTAAAAGCAAATTTGGGGGGATGGTAGTATTAGGATCTATGAGCGATACCGGTCATGAAATATCGCGCTTCTTAATGGAATTATATCAGCTTCCTTTTTACAACTGTTTCTATTTCAAAGGTGATGATAAACCTATTATATGAGATGGGATAAAATATGATGTTTTCCTAAAACTAGACCTTAAATGTGTGAAAAGACAAATAGAAGACTATTTCTTGCACCAAATAATTTTCCGTTATTAATGAATATGCGATGCTTTCGTCAATCCTTACAACAACGCAGTTAATAAAACATTTTTAACAAATGGAAAGAGTCACCTAAGTTAAATCCTAAAAGCATTTTTATTTCGATGTTGATGAAAAACAATTTCATAACATTTCATTTAACACTAGAAAGACTGAAACTTAGTATAGACCTATATTGTCCAAGAGCAGTCAAAATTACTGGATTGTGAAAGAATAACTAATGTGTAAAGAAATTTGTTTCAAATTAATTAATATTTTTTTATTATTTACAGTTATATAACAAGTTATTAGTAAATATTAACAATAAAAAAAATTATATGTTGCACAAAAAGTCACTAAGCTCTAAGATACATTATTGTTTTTCTAATTGAAATTAAAAAGCAGGCAATATAGTTTTTATAATTAATTAGTTATTACTAATTTTAACAAATATGCGTTGCTTTATATTGATCTATCCTGAAATGAAAGGAATTATAACTTTTTCAGGAAATTCTATTTGAAAAATAACTTTCCTATATAAATATTTCATCCAGTGATTAACAATTTCTGATAATTAATATAATTAACTTTTTGCGTTTCAGTTGTTTTCAACGTAATGTAAATACTTTTTTAAAAAAAAGACACTTTAAAGTAAGTAACATATTAAAATTATGTCCTCTGCTTAAAAAGGAAAGTTGGTTTCCAAATTGAAATGCTAGTTTCCCAAATTAGCCTCCAATTTATTTAAGTAAATAAGGAGAGTATTTGGGATAGAAATAGATATATTTTATATGCTACGTACGCGAAACATTTTGTTAGATAAAAGACTGTCAAATCAAATTCTTTATTTTATATATATATATATATATATTTATTAGGGGGATATTTTGTCAGCATAGAAATGCACATAATATTCCTTATTATGCTTAAATAAATGTTTTATCACACGCGAGAAACGAGTCCTGACCTTATATTTTTGTTTTAGTCAGAATTAATTTGCATAAAAATAGAACTGTATGCTTAAAGAAATTAAANCCTCATCAAAATTATTTATTACTCATAGCAAATCGTTTAATCTTTCCTTATATGGAAGTGAAAGATCTTAAAATAACTTCTCTTTTGAAATATAAATCTAATTATTATTCATTGGCATGTTTTTAGCCTTGAAGTCCCAAAATAGAATTTCTACCCTTATCCTTTACCAAAGATATTTTATGAAAACGAATGAAGTTTTAATGCTTTTATTAATAGAAGTAGTTAATATTTATATTACATATATATATATAGTCCATTTTTTAAAAAGCAACAGCTCCAAAAATGCCAGGTCCTCAGACAACAAAATGATGACCACATTTTCAAAACCTTTAGGAAAGCATTTTATTAAAAAATAAAACGATTTTCATCTGGTATATAGATTGTTTCTGCAATGCTATCTAATGAAAATTCATGATGCTTGTCAAGTAGCTCTTTCCATGAAATCGTCTGATATAAAAATGTCACTTTTTGAAAAATTTGAATTAACACTACATTGACAAACCTTTCAATAAGATAATCTTCATCATAATATTATTTAATTATTATATGATATTGAGTTATTATATGATTAACTTTTTTTTAGACAAAAAATAATTTTTCTCTTCATTGAAAGAGTACAAACGATATTTTAGTATTAGCTGAAAGAATTTTTCTGTTGAACACCTGTATAAGATTTAACATTCTGCACCGAACTCACAGTCTAAAGGAACAGCGCCGATCTCTTTTAACAAGTGCGTTCTGAATTATGAAGCAGCCATTCTAGTAAATGAGATAGTGGAGGCGCATCTCTTTGTTCCTCTTCTTGAACGATTTTTTGTTCTTTTGTAACTGTACTCACTTCTGCGTTCATAATTGCCAACTCTCTCTAATTGCTCTCTATAATCAGCTCGATTGAATCATGGCTTCCCGCTCTCTCCCCTTTTTTATTTCTTCCTCTTGTTTAGCTATTCAGTGTTGTCATCTTTAGGCCAAGGTTAATGCTTCTGATTTGTAAAAAAAAATTTATCTTGTGAATTGTAGTGTTTATATAGCGATAAAAGCCCTAATAGTGAAGATCATATCTTTAAAAATAATTCTGACAAAGCTTTAACGTTATTGATATGTGTTAAAGTCAAGTTATAGAAACGTAGGAAATGGAAAAAATATAATAACCAATATTAAATAAATAATCCCAAGAAACTGAAGAAGGAAGATATTTTTTATTTTTGATATATATTCTAAGATCAGATTTTCAAGACTTGTCAAAAATGGAAAAATGAAAATGAGAAGCAAAACTAGAAAAACTACAATAGCCGAGCGGGCAAAAAGATGAAAAACAGAACAAGAAATGTAGCCACTAAATGTTGTCGTGTCACTACTGTCGTTAACAAGGGAAACCCTTTTTAACGACATTAGTACCTCACTATCTGTCCGTATCTGTCCACTATCTGTAACGCGTGGAAATGCATTTTACCCTGATTCACCCCTTTCAGCCACTTTGGTTTTCCTGTTCTGTTTTACATCTTCTTTTTTTTTCTTGCTCGGCTAATATAGTTTTTCTAGTTCTTTTTTTCACCCTTATTTTTCTATTTTCCGTAGGCGAATTTAGGCTTCGTATTTCAGAACAATTTTGTTTATCATCCAATAGTGTTATAGAGCATAAATTTTTTTCAAGGGAAAAACAATTTAATATTAAGAAAATTAAAACAAGAATATATTGAAATTGAAGTTGAGAAAAACTTGAGATAATTATACATGTATTTATTTGTTTGTTTGTTCATTTATTTATTATTATTATTCATTTTTAACAGTTAGCAAAATGTGTATCGATATGTCTAATATAAATTTTTCATTGTACCTTATAACTGTATCAAGGAAATTAAAACAATATATAATAAGTCTTTAAACTATTCAATGCTCCTTCAAAACAATTTGCAATTTTGTACAATTCAACATTACGAATTGAATACAAAAACAAATGAACACACACCTTTGCATTTAAAATCTATAAATCATGAAATTATTAAAAAGATTTAAAATTTAGAAATAAACCGATCAGAACTTATTAAAAATTTGCTTTGAGATAAATGAGGTTTAAATTAATGTAAACATGAATTTAATTTTATTTTTCAGCAGAAGGACATCCTTCCATGCCTACATTTGCAGGACCTGTTTCAAGTTTGACGGTTGCTAAAGGAAGGGATGCCACAATGAAATGTGTAGTTGATCATTTAGGGGATTATAGGGTAATCCGTATACTTTTATTTAAACTATTTTCCTTTCTTTTCTTAATTATTTAGACATAGTTAATAAAAATAAAGAGAAAACATGGAAAATAATATAATAAAGATTAATGGAAAAAGAAGAAGAAAAATTATTAAAATGAATTGTTTTTAAAAATATTTGTAAGTAAAATTTATTTAAAGAAATATTAAAAAGATGTAGTTGATCATTTAGGGCATTATAGGGTAATCCATATACTTTTATTTAAGCTATTTTGCTTTCTTTTTTTTAATTATTTAGACATAGTTAATAAAAATTAGACTAATTAATAAAAATAAAGAGAAAACATGGAAAATAATATAATAAAGATTAATGGAAAAAGAAGAAGAAAAATTATTAAAATGAATTGTTTTTAAAAATATTTTTAAGTAAAATTTATTTAAAAAAATATTAAAAAGATGTAGTTGATCATTTAGGGGATTATAGGTTAATCCGTATACTTTTATTTAAACTATTTTCTTTTCTTTTTTTTTTAATTATTTAGACACTAAAAAAAAATTCTCTAGTTAATACAAACATAGAAAAAACAAGAAGTTCATAATAGGGAAACGTCCTTAGTTACATGACGTATGATGACATTTACTGATTCCTGTACAATTTTTACTCTAATTATGTGATATAACTCTTCTAGAAGTTTGTAGGCAACATTTATATGACCCCCTGTTATGCATAACGTATTTAAACTTGCACATTTTGACGAAAAATGGATTAAAAATGTTGTTAAAAATTGTAGCTTGAAGATAGAAACCAATTGGAGATTTGAAATCCTGCAACGTGAAAATACCCGAGATCCGTCACAAAAAATATCATGCAACAAAAAACAGACAAAAATTTATTCCATATTGTAATTTGTTGACAAAAATTTGGTTAAAAAATATTTCTCATATATATTTTCTTTTTAAATGAATTTATCAATTTAAAATAGCTGGCTATAATAATTGCTAACTTATGTTACAAATTGACTGTACAGTATCTTAATTTTTTAAAAGCTACATTTTAAGATTAAATTAATAGTTATTGAAATCTTTTCATTGTTTTCTTTCTTTCTATGTATTAAAAGAAACCTCTTGTCTAGTAGGTAGCTTGGGTTCACGTGGACAAGCAAACTTTACTTACAATTCACACTCATGTCATCACTAGGAACAAACGCGTTTCCGTCTCTCACTACAATTTCAGAACATGGCTGTTACATTTGAAAAGCGTGGAGCCCGAAGATAGTGGATACTATATGTGCCAAGTCAATACTCAACCAATGATTAGTCAAGTTGGATACTTAGAAATAGTTGGTAAGAAGAACAACTGTATGCAATATTTATTAATTTATGAATTATTCATTTTTTAATTTTGCTTAGGGTAATGGGATATTACAACTTTAAAGAAATGAAGTGGTTATGTTTCACCATGTGATTTAAATCAGATTTGAGTGACGTCACGCGTGGTTGTCGAACCTGATTGGCTTCTTAATCGACAAATGCTAATATTTACCTATGATTGCGTCATATGCAGGTACACAATTAGGAATAAGATGGGCGTAATTAACAAGTTTCGAAAAATTTCATGAATTTAACATTAAAAAAAAAACAGTGAGCCTGACTAAATGGTGCAGTTTACAGGGAGCATAAAAATGATTAATAAAAATGTACTGTCTGAATAACTTTTGGTCAAACGATCGGATTTTCACTCAATAAAATTCAATATTAATGGTCCGAAGGCTTACCTTTAAATACACTAATTGGTGCAAATGGAATCGCGAAGGCTCAGTGGATAGAGCATTCACCTCCCAATGAGGTGACGATCCCAGCGATAGCTGGTTGATATGAATTTTGCTCCTAGTTCGCACCGATTACAGTGATGACGTAAAATATCCTCAGTGGTAGACGGATCATGGATTAGAATTCCCTTTTTCTCTGGAATAACAGTAGGAAGGTTTGTGGTTTTCCTCTCTATGCTACTCAAATGAGGGTTGGTTCCATCAAAAAGTTTTCCACGAAGACCAGTTTGACAGAATGCTCGATCGAGAAGTTCCCTTATCTTCTGGGTTAGGTTCAAAATTATAAGGCTACGGAGTTGAACATTGATATTGATAGAACTGATGACATTGATAGTAACTCAGAATTGGGTCGGCTGTCAACGTTGGTTATAAAATAAAATTAGCGTAAATGATTTTAGATTACAAATTCGGATATCAAAACGTACTTTCACCGAAAAAGCATACCTTTTCTTCGGGGATTTTCGATTCTTTGGATTAATATGATACCAATAATTTGATCAGGAAAGCGAAACCACTTAATGTTAATTTTACTTTTTGCATATTTCGCCGCATCTCGAAAACTTTTAATGCGAATCGAAAATTTTTTGCACACAACTATAAAATTTGTTAATTCAATGATAAAAATTAATTCATGCAAAAATAATAATAATAATAATATTTAATAATTATTTACTATTTTTTAATATTTTATTTAATAATAGTCGAAATATTTTTAAATTGCAAAGTATACAATTTTTTCTGGCCATTTTACAAAATTTTAAATAAAAAAATTTAAAAATTCAATAATCAAGCTTTTTACAGCTCATGTCTAAATCTAAGACAGCAGATTTGATAACTTAAAATTGCATAAATATGTAGAGAAATTTCGTTTCACTTTACGACATCTACCAAATTTTATCGTTTTTGATGTTATAAGTTCCGCTTAACCGAACAAAATTAAACAATACACTATATTTCACACCCAAAACAGCAATAGCTTCTTTTAATATTTATTTGTAAAAAAATAAAGCGATATTAGACCGTTAAGGGAAGTCATATTACAAACGTATATCAAGATCATTACAAATATTTATAATGTGTACTAATTCGAAAACTTTGATTTTGATAAATGCTAATGATTATCTTTAATTATTTATACGCACTTTCTGGAACAGATAGTGGAATGTCACTCGAAACCAAAGCTTATTTTTTTAAACACTTGTGTTAATTAACTTCGCGTAAATGAAAACCAATAATTTAAAAAAATTTTGCCTGTTAAAATTCTGTCATAGAAATTTATAAAATTCAAAATTTAACTTTTATTAAAAATATTTAACGAGGTATCATTAAATTTTTATGAAATACACAGGCATATTTAAGATAATTTTCTTGACAACAAAAAGAAAAACATGTATTTTGTATTAAGATTTTATTAAGGTATTAAAAATTTGTCAATTGTTTTTGGAAGAAAAATCAATTAATTGATAATAAATAATTTATTTCAAAGCGCTAGAAAATCATAATGCATACTAATTGATATAAAAATTTAATAGTTTAAAATTTACTATTACAGGAAGCCGATATTATCAATGGATAGATTCTCAATCATTTACTCAAAAAATCATATTCTTATGTTTATTTTAAAATTGAGAATAAGATAGAAACAAATGCCCAAACTGCACCAATTATTAATAAAATTATCAACAAATGCCCAAACTGCACCAATTATCAATGTTAACATTTACAGGTAAATTATGGAATACTCCGGCATTTTTTTCTTGATATGTTATTTTTTTATAATTCAGGGCATTGCATATCTGCTTTGTTTCCATTTTTCAGTACCTCCTGAATTTGTAAATGAAGTTATCAATAGAAACATATCAGTTGCAGAAAACGCCAATATTACTCTATCCTGTAGAGCTACCGGAAATCCCATACCAAAGATAAAGTGGAGGAGAGAAGACGGACAACCTATCATTATTGGGCAGCAAAAAAGTACACACTATTCGTATGATCTAGTACTTGAACATCAAAATTTATATAATGTATAATATAATTGTTGAACATCAAAAATAAATATAATCGATTTAATGGCATCACAAGTTATCCTTTACAAGTCACTACCTTTCCCCTATTTTTTAAGTGACACATACCATACAAATTACCTGAATTTCCCCCTGGTAATTCCTGAATATCAAAAATAACTATAGTAGATTTAATGGCATCACAAGTTACTTACCCTTTTACCATTCTTTAAGTGACACATACCTTATAAGTTACCTGAATTTCCCCCTGATAACAGCTCGATACACAGAAATTACTTATTGTCTACATAGAAATTTTGGTTATTTTCCCAAAAAAGCTCGGTTCAATAATTTTAAAAATATGTCTGATTATTATGCTTCAAATCTATACATTAAAAGCAAAAAGTTGACTACACAGCATGATTGCCCAATGAGCTTCAAAAAGAGCTTCTTAAACTTAACAGAAATCGCTTAAGGTAGATCACTGGTCTCTCCACCCTCAAGAGACACCTTTACATTATGGGTATCGCACCCGACCTTTTTTGTCATCTCGAGGAGGAAACTTCAAGACATATTTGTGAGTGTAAAGTTTATTCTGTTCAAAGATTTGACAGAATAGACTGGGATAAAATTGTGTTAAGGCCTGAGAATTACAGGATTTTCCTGTCAGGTGCTTGCTGAACCTTGTTTCAGCTATTATCGTGATCTAGGGTTTGGGTACAATAAACCTCTGGTCAATGCGCCTTGCTCCTCGGAGCTGCTTAACCTTTAAGTCTAATAATCAACGATTAAAATATCTTAACTTTTCTTCATGTACTTTTTATGCATCAGAACCATGTTTTTATATTAAAAATTACTCAAATATTAAAATCATATTATCTTTAAAAGTAACTGATATCGAAATACCATTTTAAGCCTAAATTATTTATTGGAGATTAAGCAAATTATCTTTTTAGTAATACTTTTTGGGTAATACCTTTGAACATTAAAAATACATTATCATAACGTGTTTATATTAAAAATGACACAAATCTTAAAATCATATTATCCTCTGCAACTGGCATTGAAAGTACCTTTTTAAACCTAATCTAAAAAACATAGATTAAGTAAATTATGCTTTTATTAATGCTTAATGGATAATACTTTTAAACATCAAAAGCGGATTTTTATAACATGTTTATAGTAAAAATGACTTAAATCTTAGAATAATTTTTTCCTCAAAAATAACTTATATCGAAATACCATTTAAAGCCTAATCTTGTTATCATTGACAAAGTAAATTCGGCATTTTTTCACATTTTCAAGCATTAATAACTATCTAATAAACATTTTAGAAGTTTTTTTAGCACTTTGACGCGGATGGAGCAAAGGTGTTCCTTCTAAATATTTTTTCTCCAACTATCTAATTACATGCAAAAATATATTTATGTATTTTTTAAATAATAAAAACAGTTTAATAGATACTTAAAAAATCTGTTAGATTATTAGAATTATATTTGTACAAAAATATAAAATCCAAAAAAGTAGTCTGAAAAAAGAAATTTTCATTCATATTCAAAGATTTAGCAATAATTGATATTGTAAATTAAAGAAACTTCAATGATGAATAATGGTTTCTCTTAGATCTAAATAATTGCAAATTTGAAAAACTATTGTTTGGAAATGAGTTGTGTTTGGAAGATTTTACCTTTAGCACAGAAAAAGAAACCGTTGTTTCATGCAGTATTTCATAACCATAAATTATTAAAATGCTAAATGTAATATTTTTCACTTATTTTGATCTAAATTAAAACAGAATAATGAAAAAGTAGGAAAAATATGTTCCATAAAAATTCTACGTCAAAGGTTGAATTGAATGCTTTAGATCTTATGCATTTTAGACAAAATTTCAATTAATAGATCAAAAGATATTTCATCTTTCTCCAAACTTCCTTTCTTGACACACATTTATTTATTTAGTACTTAATGACCAAAGTTTTTAAATTAACTATTTGCTATTAATTTAAGATAATTTCCTACTTTTAGTGGATCTATTTGATGGAGAGGAATTAATTCTACGCAAAGTATCTCGTCAAAGTATGGGAGCGTATTTGTGCATAGCATCCAATGGTGTACCACCGGCCATAAGTCGACGAATGCACATTGATATAACCTGTAAGTTTTATCAACTTCTTATGAACAAAAATCTAAAATTATAGCGAGACAAGTCATGCATACTTATTTAAGAAATTTTCAGTTCCTCCCATGATCTGGATCCCAAACCAGCTTGTTGGCGCAGCTGAAGGCAATCCTATTGCACTGGAATGCAATACTGAAGCGCACCCCGCTGCCACTAATTTTTGGGTGAGGAATGACCACGTCGTTGGTGCGTCCAGTGAAAAATATGAAACCTATCAGATTGTAAATGGATATAAAGTTCACATGAAGATAGTGGTAAAGAATCTAAATAAAGATGATTTTGGTGTATACAGATGTGTATCGAAAAATGCTTTAGGAGAAACGGCTGGATCCGTTAATTTGTACAGTAAGCATTGCCATATCTATTCTTCTTCGTCTCATAAAAAAAATTAAAGAAATAATAAAATCTAGCCGCCTTTGGCAACCAGCTAGATCACCTTTCAAAATTATCTTGTATAACCTATAAACTTTATTGGTAACCGAATCGAATGCACAGTACAACTGTATTTAAATAACTTACTTCTTCTACCACTCCTCTAATCCTAACACCTTAGTTAGTTTTAAACAATATATTTACTATTTTTTTTCTCACCTTTTTGCTCGAAAAGGCAAGTTCCGTCACCAACAGTTGCCATGACGATATGCGGCACAATAGCACCGTTTTTGTTTAAAATTTCTACAGCCACTTTAGAAAGGATCAAAAAGTTACTGTTTATTTCTGTGGAAGTTAAAAATTATTCTAAATAAATACTTCGTATAATCGTATAATTAAATAATATAATCGTATAATATAAATAATCGTATAATTAACTATTCAACACTATTTAAATTAATACTTAAGCCATATGCGTGTTCGAGGGGGGAGACACTTTTTGTTTTTAGAAAACCGTTCGTTTATTTTAAGTTTTATGTATATACGCATGTTTATTTTTTATATGAATGTATATTTATACATAAATGTATACATAAAACTTGTTGTTACTGACGTATGCCTGCTTTAGGCAGAGGGGGTGCGATAGTTCTTGTTTTTCCAGTGACGCCATTTATGGCCAAGAATTCGACTTCTGCCACAACATACGTTGCACCCGTTTATAGGGCGGACCCATTCATACATCCATTCATTCATCCACTGATCATAATTTTGACCTGAATCAGAGAACGATCGATCTCCAATCCAGTACCCCCAGAGGTTTTGATTTGTTATGGGAACATGGAGGACTTTTCGCGACTCGACAGATTTAACGTGCATCAGTCACTTTACTACACGGGGAGTCTTCGGCAGGCGGGATTCGAACCCACGAACTCTCAGACATGGGCCCATATATATAACTTAAAATAGGCGAACAGTTTTCTAAAAATAAAGAGTGTGCACCTTCACGACAACCTAAAAAAATGAATCTAAATATATACTTAACGTAAAATTAGTTTTTCAACGCTAATTAATGAAAGAAAAAAAACTTTGCAAATGGTTTACAAACAGCATACCTCTTGATGCTGAATTTTGTTATTTTTATTCAATGCGAAATACTATAGGAATTTTTCACAATTCATTCATTATATTGTTATTAGAAAAACATTGTTTTGAAATTTCTTCTTTCTTCACAAGAATTTCTATTAGATAGGAATTATTAACACTTTCGCTGCCGATCCCGCACCAGGGCGTGACGAAATTCCTTCTAGTAGTTTGTGTCTAAAAAAACAGATCAAGTGGTAGCAAGGTGTATATTAACGTCCAACTATTTCTCAGAAAATACGATATTTTCTCACCAAAATAACACATTGTTTATTGAAATAAAGTTATTGTGAATTTTAAAAACTAAAGTAGTTGTTTAAGAAATAAAAGTTAACTTTAATTTTATTATTATCGATTGCCACTTTTCAATGAAAGACACAGCATAATCACCTGTTCTCGGCTGGCAGTGAACGTGTTAAATGAATGATGAATTATTAATCGCATATAAATTTAATTACTGGTTACGAAAATCATAAAGAGTTTTAAAAAAAAAATTCTATTTCTCGGAAGCCCTATGACCCTTCGCGGAACACCATTTAGGAACCACAGGTATAAGGTATCATTATCAGGCTAATTCTTCGACCAGGTAGCGACAAAATTGTTGCTGTTGTCATTAAAAATTTTATGACTTTCTGACACTATCTATAGTTTGTCAAGTAAGAACTCACCTAACCATTTGTCTGGACCCGTGGCGGTGACTATGGTAACGAGGTATAACTATTTCTAGTAGGGGTTTGGAGTCACTGTTTAGGACAGGTTTTGGTCGGCGAGAGAAAGGGTAACTTTTTCTATAGTCTACTGTGTTAGCCCTAGAGTGAAGAGAAGCTACCCTTCCTGAATTGCGCTATTCTTGTTTCCATATCAGCAGATAGCCTCAGACTTTGTGTCGAGGGGAGTTCTTAACGTAGACAAACTTTATGTAATGTTCATATATTTTTCAATAAAAAAATAAAGAATACAATAAAAAAAAGGTTCTATCTTTAGACTCGATATAAATGATTAGTAAAAGACAGAAAATTGTTGAATGTTGCCGAATTCTATTTAAAATGCTCAGTCATTTTAATCAACGATAAAACTAACGTACCCAGATGATTTTAATTAATAAACAAATTAAAATAAGTGTTTAATAAGTGTTATTTCATTAAAATTGCAACGAAGAACTAAATCTGTATGTTTATTACGAAAATTTTAAATTTAGTAACTTGTTATATCTTTATACTTTCAGAAATTAAAACAAGCACCCACAATATCATTCCTCCAGTATCAACTCCGCCAGAACAACCTATAATCAATATACTAGGTATTATTTTAATACTACTTGATACCATTGTAATAAGTTCCGTTATAAATAAGTCAAATAATTTATACAGTTACTTGATACAATTTTGAAAACTTGAGAAAAGAAAATTATCTTCATCTTATCTTGCAAAATACTTTTATATCTGTCTTGTATATGGACAAAATTTAAGTAAACAAAATTCAAAACAGAAAATTTATAAAGAATGATAAAGAAAAAAAGATTAATTTCATTCATTCACTTCACATAGTTAACCTGATAATAATTTTGATATTTCTTGCCACGCACAATGCACAATAAAAAAAAATAAAAAAAAACTGACCACCTTGAATAACTTTTGATCTAATAATCGATTCTTCACGTTCTAAAACTCAAACTTAATGGTTTGAGGGGGTAACCTCAAATATGCTAATTAATTATTGCAGACGATATTTTAATTTACAAAATAAGACACAAAAACGTGCTTTCTATGAATAAATATAACTCCTTTTCTGCAGATTAGGATTTCTGATCCCCAAAATATATCCGCAATCTGGGAAATATGGCCCCCATAGTTTGGTCAATAGAGCGATCCAAAGTTCGGACCACATAATGTTAATTGTACTTTTTGCTTATTTCGCCGTATCTCGAAAACTTTTAAAGCGAATTGAAAAACATTTGCTCACAATTATAAAATTCGTTTATACAATGCTAATACCATGCAAAAAATAAATTTTAGCAAATATTTATTATTTTTTTATTTTTCTATTTAATAATAGTCGAAAATTTTTGAATTGTTAGGTATACAATTTTTAACATCACTTTAAAGCATCTAATTTTACTTTACAAGGTATATAATTTTACATTAAAGTATTAATTTTACAATTAGCGGAGCCTCTCTCTCTAAGTTGCTAGCGAGCGATAACTGGCACTGGCAAACTCGAACAACACAGGAATGGTTTACACTGATGGAATGAAGTTAAATTGCATAATATTATGCTAATTTGTCATCCATTTATTTAAATTTAAGTTGACAAATGAAATTATTTTGAAATTAAATTAGTAAATGTCATTCATTTATAATCTTTTTTTTACATTTAGAAGAAACAGAGGAAGAAAAATTAAGCAAAACAAGCATGCAAGACAATTTGTCATTACAAGAACAAGAAACAGAATTTAGCATTGAACACAGTACAGGTAATGTTAATTTTACATTTGCCTACACTTATACGCATTCTTGTTTTTTGATCTAAAAAATAATATTTTCAATCTAATAATTATACTTTATATGTTTTGTTCATTTTAACGATAAAATTACAAAGATCAGGGCAATATATTGATAACACTTACTTTTAAATAATTCAGGAGAACACTTTTAGTGAAAAACGCCTAAAAATGTTCTTATAAGCAGTAAGATATTTCTGTGTATTGTTCTATTTATCTAGTACTGATGTAGAGATTCAGGAAACTTGTGTAGTACATATCGGAAAGCTGTACAATTTCATGCAAAAATGTCGTTCTCCCTGAGTCGACATTAAATTGTCGAGCTCCCAACTAACTTGGTGAATAATGGTGGATTTAAAATTTAATGTGAGAGATGTAATGTGTTAGATTTCTGTGCCCCAGAAGAAAACTTAAGGCTACTCTTATTCCCACTCGGTGCTTTTTTTTTAACATCTGGTTTACCTTTTTTTTTCAATTAAAATATGAACCGCATTCGATTTTTTTGTAAAATATTTAAGGATTTACTATAGATATATCTATTTCTTACTTTTGAAAGTGTTCTTATGGAAAGATACATTGCTGTTTTTATTAGTTCATTCTTCATAAATTGCCATTATTTAAGTTTATATCGATATAATACGCGAAATAAAATATTCCCATACATTTTTGTCGCTTGATAATCGCATTTTCTTTGCCTAAAAGAACCGGTAATATTTTAACAAAAATCAAAAGCTTAGTCATTTAAATTGCTGTACTAAATCCAATTTTACAGCTGTTTAATGTTTTTTTTTTATATTTTATAATTACATAATTTCTTAATTAAAATAAATATTTGTAATGATTATTTTATTTAGACTTGTTTAAATATTCATTAAATGTATTATTATTATTTTTTTTGTTGAAAATGTGGTTTTATTGATAAAAACATAATAAACAAACAACTTCGAAATGTTTTCTTTCATATATTTCTGTACAAATACATAAATTTATTTTACAAATGTATTAACTACATTGTGCACAAATACAATCAATTCTTGATATTGTGAACTCGTGTAAGAAGACACTAAATAATTTCGCGAGATCGATTTTTTTTTTAATAATTCAGTCAAATTACTAACATAATTTTTTCCAAATAGTTATTTCAAATAATGAAAACATCTTAATTTTTTCAACTGAGTTTTGGTGAAGCAGTTCTACTTCGACATCTACCTTTTTGATTACAACTTCAGATATTATAAACTATATGTACTTCCACTGTTCTCAATTACTCACTCCTTAAATATAAGTTTCTACAAGGTTCATTAAAGGTCAAGTTTTTTATGAGCAGATGTACGCTTCTAACATGTCCATTTCTTAAGAAATGAATAATTTAGGCAGCTTTTTAAACATTCTTATTAGTTTCGAGAAATTATTCAAGAAAAATTTAAGAATTAGAATTCAAATTTTTTTTTTTAAATTCTTCAGAAATTAATGTCAAGATCTTTTCGATCATAAATATTTCGGAAAGTCAAGCGCCCCTGTCTAAAAAATGTTTCTCTCTATTGGCAATATAGCAACAATGTAGGGGTTTTAAATTTATTTTTTCGCGATATAGAAAAATTCATGTTATCAAAGTTTCCAGTTTTTAATATCAGCGTTATTTATTATATATTTACGTATATATATTATTTATGATAAAATTAGAACAATAAAAACTAACAAATTATGCCTCAAATTATAAATTCATGATTTCATTACTCTAGATCAATCGTAGACAATGAACCATTAAGTAAAGTAAAATTGACTAACGATTTGTTTTAAAATGCAGCCCAAAACTCTGTGCTCGAATTTCACAGACGAGTACTTTTTTTCCTGCAAGTCTGTTTGCTCCTTTAAAATTAAATAATTTTGTTTATTATTTATTTTAACTATCAGACATTAAAATTACACCAATTAATTGAAATATAAAGAGTAAAATAAAAATATGCATAAGTAGAGCTTTTAAAATAATAAGAAATAATGCATAAGTGGTTTAATGCATAAAATATTTGCTTATACTTATTACTAGCCATACCTAAATACCACATTTGTAGCAACAGTTTAAGGATCGGCAACCTTTTGAAATGAAAGAGCCAAAAGTTACAATTTTACAGAATTTCCCGCTTTTAAAGAGCCACTAAAAATTTTTGATTTAATACTATAGAATTTTTTTATGTATATTTAATTTTTAGTTAAAAAAACGGTTTTGAATACATTTATTCTTTATTTTTAAAATACGTTAATAATTTTTTTTAAATTTAGTTTTCAAATAATTTTTTAAAATTAGTTCTTTTGGGGGGGATAAGAATACTTGGTTAATTAAAATTCCATGAAAATTGTAAATTTTCTTACTAATTCTTGTCAAATTTTTAACAGAAAACGCGATTTCTTTTTCTATTGAATGTGCAACGAAACACAATCTTATCAGATAGATTTTATAAAAAAATTTTTTAATTTTTCATAGCAATTCCGCAATAATATTCATTTATATTATATCAGAATTTTTTCACAATTTTCCTTTTTTAAGAAATATGTACCGTCTATTCTTGTAATTGTTAAAAAAAATTTTTAAGCACTTAATTATTGAACATTTAAATAAATTAAAAAAAATTTTGTCAAAGCAAACGTTAAATCGACTTATGATGAAGTGCTAGAAACGATGGCCACATACTTTTTCTATTTATTGTAAAAAATTTTAAAATTTATAGAGCTTCGAGCTTTCCGACTCAAATAATTTAACATTTTTTTTAAAAATTAATTTAATAAAAGTCATTGAAAGTAACGATCTTCTATTATTTTAAATATCTTTTATACGCAAAATTACAACATTAATGTATTTGATTATGAAATTTAATAATATGCAGGTGATTCGGAGTGACGGCTC